AAAAAATAATATGGGGACTATTGTCTGTATTTGTTTGCCATGTTTGAGTAGTTTGGTTGGTCTTTTTTATTTTTCGTACAAAATCCCCCTGCAGGGCGACATGCCCGACTTAAACCTTGAGGGTCCACGTTGTGAAAAATCATGGCGTTGTGGGTTTGAGAACGGTGGGGCTTCCTCAGGGTCAGAAGAGGGTCAGAAGCGGCCGCGGTAATTCGCACGAAAGTCGCCAGAGGCACCGTGGGCCCATGCGACAAGGCTGGGCCACTCGTGGTCGTTTCCCTAGCAGAACCTGCCAGGGCCGTACAAACCCAAGGTCTCGAAGCGCTTGTCTCCGATATTCTCGAGCTAGAGGTGAAGACTACGAGGTTGTAGAACATCCAGCTGCCCACCGCCTGTCTAGGCCGACTATGCCTTCGCAGCAATCTGAAGCCGTCATCACGAGCCCCAATCGAGAACCGTAGACACTCGTCACCTCCTCGCGTCGTGAAGACGCGACGGCAGGTTTTCGACGGTGTTCGGCATGCTGGGCCCCATCATCGGGCCCCGTGGTTGTCAAAAACAACTCAAGAGGAGCGGTTTCGAGGACGAGCGAGGGGGAGAAGTAAGAAGAGGAGAAGGCCCTCCGGAGAAGGCGGCGGGACTTCTCTCAGAAGCCCTCGCGCCCTCCGAGAGGTTTCCCGCGTCTTCGGGGAAGGCTTGGCCTAAGGAGTGTGTGAAGCCCACGCCCAAGCAGAGAACCTTGTTCAATCGTATCTGCAGGGGGCGGCACCCACAAAGGGATGACCTCACTGTGGGGCCTGTGCCGTGGTGCTAATTTCTCGCCTCGTAGTTCATGTTAAAAAAATGCCGCCGAAGGCCGGGGGGCTTCGGAGCGTCCCGAGAAGGCCCACGCCCTCCTCACTTCCCCCTGGGGGGGCTCGCCGCCGACGGCTGGCCCCGAGGCAGGGGCCGAGATCTCCGGGGGCCCAGGAGGCTGTGAGCGGCGCCGCGGCGTCGGAGGCCTGGGCCGGCAGGTGGGCTCCTCCTCCTCCTCCTCCTCCTCCTCCTCCTCATCCTCACCCTACCTTCCTCTCCTCCTGCCTCCTCCTCCTCCTACTCCTCCTCCTCCTTCCCCCTCCCCCTCCCCCTCCCCCTCCTCCTCCTCCTTCGCCTTCCCTCCTCCACTCCTCCTCCCTCCTCCTCCTCCTCCTCCTCCTCCAGCGAAGAGGGGCCCAAGAGACGGGGGATCAGTGCAAACGGGGGTCAGCCAGAGCGCCAGATCCTGCAGGATCCTGCGAAGACCCCTTCTGGCTGGCCCGGGTTAGCGAGCCGCTCGTGGCCGCGAGGCGGCCGCACATCTTGGCTGACCCGGGTTTGCGAAGACCTGCGGTGCAGTTTTTTTTCCTGCATTGCAGTTTTTGGTTTCCTGCTGACCCGGGTCTGGATTGACCCGGGTCAGAAGATCCCCGACTTTCGAGGATCGGCGTCCGCGGCTTTTGGGGCGCGCCTCGCTCTTGTCCAGGCCTTCGAGACGCGTCGCGCCGCCGCGGCCGGGTTCGCTTCCATCTTCGGGTCGAGGCGTACCCAAGAGTCGAGTAGGGGATCGATTACCGAATTGGTTGACCCCAGAATCGACTTGTCTGTCGAAACCATTTCAGACAGTCGATAGCGTTCGTAGGTCTGCGGAGATTCCACGAGCTCGCCGGCTGCGACGAGAGAGTCAACTCTGGGGCATAGCAATTCTGCAGCCGATCCCCTGCTCGAAGGAGAGGCCCAGGGCTCGGCTCTCCACGGCACAGGTCTCAGCCTCCAGGGGCCCTCCGTGTGCCCCAGGACGCTCTATGTAAAAGCTCCGGCCAGAGTCCAGCACGGCACCCTCCAGCAACATGTGTGACCCAAGGTGCTTGGCATCGCTCGGACGTGTGCATTTTTCCTTCGGCCAGGACCATCGAGGAGCATCCTTGATCATTTGGCGAAAAAACCACGCACGAAACCGAAACAAACACACGGAATGGACGTCCGAGCGATGGCGAGCATGTGTGACCCAAGGTGGCTCTTCTGCATGTTCGTGCGTTCTCTTGCTCCTGATCCGCCTGCGCCTTCGGCGTCGTCGTCGAGCCGTTCGTCGTTGTCGTCGTCGTCGTCGTCCTCTTCCTCCGCGGCCGCGTCGGTCTCTTTCGTGCCCTCGCTCTGCCCCCGCCATTCCGCCTCCTCACCATCACCCTCATCTGTTCCTCCCGCTCCTCCTCATCCTCCTCCTCCCCCTCCTCCTCCTCCTCCTCCTCCTCCTCCTCCTCCCCCTCCTCCTCCGTCTCGTTGTCCTCCTCATCCTGATGTTCATGGTCCTTCCCCCTCCTCCTCTGCCTCCTCCTCCTCCTCTTGTATACCTCGTTTCAATGTTCCTTCGCCCCCCTCCTCATACGAATCCTCATTACTTATGCCTCATTATTCTAGTGCTATTCCTTCTCGCCGGTCCTTCCTCATTCACTCACTCATTCATTCACTCAATCACGGCCTAACGACTTCAGAGTCCCGCTGCCGATCCAAACTCCTATTCCTGATCCTCTTGCTCCTCCTCCTCCTCCTCCTCCTCCTCCTCCTCCTCCTCCTCCTCCTCCCTCCTCCCCCTCCTCATCCTTCACCTCCTCATCACACTCTTTTTTGTTACGTTCCTTCTCCTGCTTCTCCTGCTCGCCGCGTTCCTCCTTGTAGTCCTCGTGCACCTCGTGCTCCGCGTCTTCCTCCTCTTCACAGGGTACCGCGTTCACTTCCTGCTCTTCCTCCTCCTCCTCCTCCTCCTCCTCCTCCTCCTCCTCCTCCTCCTCCTCCTCCTCCCCCTTCCTCCTCATCCTCTTCCTTCCCCGCGGCGAGGGGGCAGTTACTGCTCTGCTGGGTATGTGCCCTGGTGCTCGGCCCTACGCCGCGGGGACACTGACAAACCGTTTGCGCTCCGCGGCTTGGCGTCTTTTCGGGTCCCGCCCCGCGGCACATTGCCCGGGGCCGTGGCGCTCAGCTACGGCCGTGTCGTTGGAGCCACCTTGAGCTTCCAGGCGCAGGGATCGTACAGCTGGTGGAGTGGCACGGCCGTGTGGTCCAGAAGCCCCGTGGGGCCTTCGTGCCTACTCGCCCTGGGGTGCCAATTCAGTTGCGCGTGCCATATGCTGTGGCAGGGGTTGATCGTCGGGGGGGATTCTTCCAGGAAGGAGGGGGTACGACCCTCGCCCTCTGCACCACCGCCGCTACGTGTGAGAAGCGAGTCGCTTGGCGACAAGGCGCCGACTTGCACTTCGACCGCGTTGCGCGAGTTCCTCGCTGATGAGTGGGCGGCTCCCCTGCACGCGAGGAGGGAGGTCCCCTCGTGTGGGGGCGGAGGGCGGCCCGTTTTGCGATGTGGCACGACTCTCGTGTGAAGCAGTCCTCTCGCGCGGGTTCGTTTCTCTGTTCTCCGTGCTGCCTCCACCTCCTCCTCCTCCTCCTCCTCCTCTTCCTCGCAATGCTCCTTCCTCTACCTGCCCCTCGGCCTTGCATTTCTCCTTCTCCTCTCCCTCCTCGGTCTCCCCGCCCTTTTCCTCCTCCGTTTTCTCCTTCCCCTCCACCTCCTCCTCCTCCTCCTCCTCCTTGTTCCTCCCCATGTGCTTTCCTCGATTTCCCTGCTTCATCCGCCTCGCCATGTATGCCTGGTCGTGTCTCCCTCGTTCACTATTCCTGTTTTCTCCTCGCTTTCTCCTGCCCAGGCCTGCCCTCGTTCGAGGCATGTTCACGATTTGCTCAAGCATGCCTCCCACCATATAAGCCCTTGGAGCTTTCCACGGGATCGGGCTCGCGCGACAGCGCTAGCTACCTCCTCCGCCCTGCTACGGGCGCCCAGACCTTTCTCAAAACACAATTCGACATCACACAGGAATAAGCAAATCGACACCACCATTCGAAACACAATTCGGCAGCACAATTCGTCAACACAGCTTGGCAGCACAATTCGAACATGCAACATCGAACCTCGTGTCGATTGCACAACTCGACAATAGACGTCGACAGGCGCTTCTCCAAACACAAATCGGTCCCCTCCTCCCTCCTCCCTCCTTCTTCTCGGAACCCAGAGTTCTGATGGCGTCTCAGACGAGATGGGCCGGACCACCTCGCGCGCAACATCTCGGAACTCCGACTTGCGAGAAAGTTCTCCGCGAAACGGGCCAGACCACATCGCGCACATTGTTTCGGAACCCATCGTTGCGAGCATGTTTCATGCGAAACTGACCGGACCACCTCCTCGCGCGGCATCTCGGAGCCCAGAGTAACGAGGAAGTCTCAGGCGAAACGGGCTGGACCACCTCGCGCGCGATGGGGGTTCAGAGTTTCGAACCTGTCTCAGGCAGGCAGCACCCAGACCCCTTCAGAGCAAAATTCGAAAACTGAAATCTAATCTAATGGTTCGTTTGGGTCTGACCCCTCCTCCCTCCTCCCTCCTCCTCCCTCTCGAAACCAAAAGTTTCGAGGATGTCTCAAACAAAACAATACCCCAGTGCGACCCTACCTAGAAGTTGGAGCCCCTAGGAAAGCAGCATTAGCTGCTATGCCATGCCATGCTATGCTATGCTATGCTATGCCATGCTACGATATGCTGCGCAATGCTATGATATGCTAAGCTATGCTATGTCATGATGCGCTTTGCCATGCTATGCTATGCTATGCTATGCTAAGCTGCGCTAGGCTATGCCATGCTATGCTATGCTATGCTGCGCTATGCTATGCTAAGCTATGAGTGGCTATGTCAGGCTATGCTATGCTATGCTAATGCTGTGCTATGCTAAGCTAAGCTAGGCTAAGCTAGCCCTCTAGGCAGAGCCTAGGTAGCGAATTACAGCCATGCTAACATGCTATGCTACGCTGTGCTGTGCTCTGCTGTGCTCTGCTATGCTAAAGCTCAGCGAAGCTAAGATGAAGGTAAGCTAAGCTAAGATAAGCTAACCCTCTAAGCAGAGCCTAGGTAGGGAATTACACCCATGCTATGATATGCGATGTTGCTCTTTGCTATGCTACGCTATGCTGTGCTCTGCTCTGCTCTGATATGCTAAAGCTCAGCGAAGCTAAGATGAAGGTAAACTAAACTAGTATAAAACTGAGGTAAGATGAAGCTAAGCTAAGGTAAGATGAAATAAGCTAAGCTAAGATGAGATAAGCAACGCGAAGCTAAGGGAACGTCACTGGGGGAACCGCGGGGCGGATGCCGGGGGAACCGCCCGGGGCGGGTTCCATTGCCCGGCCCTTCAAGCCTAACAGTAAGAACCCTTCTAGGCAGAGCCTAGGTAGGGAATAAGAAAAACAAACAAACAAAAGTTTCGAGGTTGTCTGAGGCGAAATGGGCCAAACAACCTCGCAAGCAGCACATCTCAGAGCCCAGAGTTGCGAGGATGTCTCAGGCAAAACGGGCCCGACCACCTCGCGCGCGGCGTCTTGGAGCCCAGAGTTGCGAAGATGTCGCAAGCGAAATGGGCTGGACCACCTCTCGAGCGTGGCGTCTTGGAACCCAGAGTTGCGAGGATGTCTCATGCGAAACGGACTGGACTACCTCGCGCCGAGCATGTCGCAGCCCAGAATTGCGAGGATGTTTCATGCGAAACGGGCTGGACCACCTCGTGCGCGACATTTGGAGCTCAGAGATGCGAGGATGAATCAGGCGGCGCCCAGGACGACAGAAGTGTAATCAAGTGGTTCTTTTGGGTTTCACCCCTCCTTCCTCCTCCCTCTTGTTCTCGGATCCCAGACTTGCGAGGATGTCTGAAGTCAACCGCGACAGACCACCTCGCGCGCAGCATGTCGAATAGCAGAGTTGCGAGGATGTCTCAGGCGAAACGCCCCCGACAACCTCGCGCTCGGCGTCTCGGAGCCCAGAGTTGCGAGGATGTCTCAGGCGAAACTGGCCAGACCACCTCGCGCGCGGCATCTTCCAGCTCAGAATTGCAGGCGAAATAGGCCAGACAATCTTGCGCGCACTATCACCGAGGTCACAGTTACGAGGATGTCTCAGGTGAAACGCGCGGGAGCACCTCCAGCGCGTGGCATCTCGGAGCTCAGAGTTGCAAGGATATCTCAGGGGAAACGAGCTGAACCATCTCGCGCGCGGTATCTCGGAACTCCGAATTGCGAGGGTGCCTCGGGCGAAACGGGCTGGACTACCTCGTGCGGATCATGTCGCAGCTGCGAGGAACGAGGATGTCTCAGATGAAACGGGCCGGACCACCTCTCGCGCCTAGCATCTCGGGGCTCAGAGTTGCGAGGATGTCTCTGGCGAAACGGGCCAGACCACTTCCAGAGCATCGCGGGGCATGCCCCGCAGCCCAGAGTTCCAAGGTTGTCTCAGGCGAAACGGGCTGGACTACCTCGCGTGCGGCATGTCGCAGCTCAGAACTGCGAGGATATCTCAGGCGAAACGGGCCGGACCACCTTTCCCGCGGCGTCTCGGAGCTCAGATGTGCTAGGATGTCGCACACGGAATGGGTCGGACCACCTCGCGCGGCGTTTCGGAGCTCAGAGTTGCGAGGATGTCTCAGGGGAAACGAGCTGGACCACCTCGCGCGCGGTATCTCGGAACTCCGAATTGCGAGGGTGCCTCGGGCGAAACGGGCTGGATTATCTCGTGCGGATCATGTCGCAGCTGCGAGGAACGAGGATGTCTCAGATGAAGCGGGCCGGACCACCTCTCGCGCCTGGCATCTCGGGGCTCAGAGTTGCGAGGATGTCTCAGGCGAAACGGGCTGGACCACTTCGTGCGGCCGTGGCATCTTGGAGCTCAGATTTGCGAGGACGTTTCACGCGAAACGGGCCAGACCACGTTTCGCGCACTATCTCCGAGGTCATAGTTGCAAGGATGTCTCAGGCGAAACGCACGTTAGCACCTCTCGCGCGCAGCATCTCGGAGCCCAGGGTTGCGAGGATGTCTCTGGCGAAACGGGCCAGACCACTTCGCGCGGGGCATGCCCAGAACTGCAAGGATATCTCATGCGAAACGGGCCAGACCACCTTTCCCGCGGCGTCTCGGAGCTCAGATGTGCTAGGATGTCGCGCACGGAATGGGTCGGACCACCTCTCGCGCGGCGTTTCGGAGCTCAGAGTTGCGAGGATGTCTCAGGGGAAACGAGCTGGACCACCTCGCGCGCGGTATCTCGGAACTCCGAATTGCGAGGGTGCCTCGGGCGAAACGGGCTGGACTACCTCGTGCGGATCATGTCGCAGCCCAGAGTTCCAAGGTTGTCTCAGGCGAAACGGGCTGGACTACCTCGCGTGCGGCATGTCGCAGCTCAGAATTGCGAGGATATCTCAGGCGAAACGGGCCGGACCACCTCTCACGCGCAGCATATCGGAGCGCCGACTTGAGAGAAAGTCCTTAGTGATACGGACCAGACCACCTCTCGCGCGTAGCATCTCGGAGGTCAGTGTTGCGAGGATGCCTCGTGCGAAACAGACCGGACCACCTCTCGCGCGGCATCTCGGAAGGCTCAGAGCTGCAAAGAAGTCTTGGGCGAAGCGCCCCATCCCGGCCCTCTCGGCAACGACAGGTGTGCGCGTGCCTCGGGCGAAACGGCCCAGATTGCGAGATGTTCTTGAGGATGTCTCTGGACGCCCGGCCCTGGATGCGGGCAATATTTATATCCACATCCAGTGCGTCTTGGACTTTCTTGGAAGGGGCGCCGCAATGCCGAGGCGCACTGGATATGGATAAAAATTGAGCCTTTTGGAGGCAGATCATAATCCATATCCAGTGCGCCTCATGCTTCTTGGGAAAAGAGTCCGAAACTCCACGACGCACTGGATGTGGATAAAGACATTGCCCCGCCCTGGAGCGGAGTCAGTTTCGTCCACACCGGCACTCCGTTCCGCAAGTTGTTCGGGCATGGTTCGTGGCGCAGGGCTCCCCAGGGCCCAGGGAAGGCCCCAGGATCCAGGTTCCGCCTCGTCGCGCCCCCGGGTTTCCTGAATGTTGGAGGCGAAGAGGACGTTGGCTCCCTGACCTTCCAGGAGGGCTACAAGATAGCACCAGGACGTCGACGTCCAAACTCCGATCGAGATCTGAGGCGGTCCGTACTAGGTTGATATATGGGTCTGGAGCTTTGCGGGCCCCGGAAACGGCAGGGCCGTTTTTTCACCGTTTCCAGAAACAAAAAGTCCCTTGAAAATGGAAACGGCCAAAAAAGGCGACCGGAAACGGCAAAAAAACGGCTCCAGCATTGGAACTGGGGCCAGAACCGGTCGAAAGGCGGCGACGGGACCAGTAACAAACACGGCGTCGGAACCGGCAACAAAAACGGCAAAACGGAACCGGTAACAAAAACGGCCCTGTCGTTTCCAGGGCCCGCGAAGGTCTGGAGTGCTGATTGCGGCAATGCTGGATTGTCAGGGTTGTCGTGCCTTCCCGTGCCTCCTGGAGCGGGGGCCACGCCAGCGCAGCCGAGACCGCCCCGAAGTGGTGCCCCAGAAGCGGCCCAGCGGCCTGTTGTGCATGCCGGCCGCAGGTACCTGCTGCAGCAGGCCAAGATCGGGGAGAAGACCCAGGACTCAGCGCAGCTCTCCTAAGCGATGCCCATCCCCACTGGGCCAGGGCATCTCAGCCCCAGCTGCCCACCCACCCAGGGGGGATTGGCCCCGCGAAGCCCAGAAGGAACAGTATGTATATCAATATCTAATTTTACAGATGTACACACATATATATATATATATATATATATATGTATATATATATATATATATATATATATATATGCAAGACTGCAGTGGCGCTTCGCGCCATGCACCCTGGTCCTTGAAGTTTGGTATGCTGGCGAACTAGCAGGAAGGTCAAGCCGACAATTTAGCGATAACTCCTTGTTGCCTTGTCCGGCATCGCCGCTATAGTAATGTTATTCGTTATTATGTCTCCATGCTTTTGTTTCCTTATTCCCAACCCTCCTGCGTTGGGTTCTCGTTTTGAATAGAGCACTGCTCGCGCGTCTCCTTCCTTCCCTTCTTCCTTCCTTCCTTCCCGTCCCTCTCTTCCCCCCTGCCTTTGACCTCGCCATCCCTGGGGGGCTGCGATCTGTGAAACTGTCGCCACTTTCGAGGGCTGCTGGGGGGCCCAGCACAGTGGGTACTCACCGCGGATTCAAATTAGACCTCGCCATCCCTGGGGGGCTGCGATCTGTGAAACTGTCGCCACTTTCGAGGGCTGCTGGGGGGCCCAGCACAGTGGGTACCCACCGCGGATTCAAATTAGACCTCGCCATCCCTGGGGGGCTGCGATCTGTGAAACTGTCGCCACTTTCGAGGCCTGCTGTGGGGGCCCACCTCGCCATCCCACGAGTGAAACTGTCGCCTGCTGGGGGGCCCAGCAGTGGGGGACTCAAATTAGACCTCGCCATCCCTGGGGGGCTGCGATCTGTGAAACTGTCGCCACTTTCGAGGCCTGCTGGGGGGCCCAGCACAGTGGGTACTCACCGCGGATTCAAATTAGACCTCGCCATCCCTGGGGGGCTGCGATCTGTGAAACTGTCGCCACTTTCGAGGCCTGCTGGGGGGCCCAGCACAGTGGGCCACCGCGGATTCAAATTAGACCTCGCCATCCCTGGGGGGCTGCGATCTGTGAAACTGTCGCCACTTTCGAGGGCTGCTGGGGGGCCCAGCACAGTGGGTACCCACCGCGGATTCAAATTAGACCTCGCCATCCCTGGGGGGCTGCGATCTGTGAAACTGTCGCCACTTTCGAGGCCTGCTGGGGGGCCCAGCACAGTGGGTACTCACCGCGGATTCAAATTAGACCTCGCCATCCCTGGGGGGCTGCGATCTGTGAAACTGTCGCCACTTTCGAGGCCTGCTGGGGGGCCCAGCACAGTGGGTACCCACCGCGGACTCAAATTAGACCTCGCCATCCCTGGGGGGCTGCGATCTGTGAAACTGTCGCCACTTTCGAGGCCTGCTGGGGGGCCCAGCACAGTGGGTACCACCGCGGACTCAAATTAGACCTCGCCATCCCTGGGGGGCTGCGATCTGTGAAACTGTCGCCACTTTCGAGGCCTGCTGGGGGGCCCAGCACAGTGGGCACTCACCGCGGACTCAAATTAGACCTCGCCATCCCTGGGGGGCTGCGATCTGTGAAACTGTCGCCACTTTCGAGGCCTGCTGGGGGGCCCAGCACAGTGGGTACTCACCGCGGACTCAAATTAGACCTCGCCATCCCTGGGGGGCTGCGATCTGTGAAACTGTCGCCACTTTCGAGGCCTGCTGGGGGGCCCAGCACAGTGGGTACTCGCGCAGACTCAAATTAGACCTCGCCATCCCTGGGGGGCTGCGATCTGTGAAACTGTCGCCACTTTCGAGGCCTGCTGGGGGGCCCAGCACAGTGGGTACTCACCGCAGATTCAAATTAGACCTCGCCATCCCTGGGGGGCTGCGATCTGTGAATCTGTCGCCACTTTCGAGGCCTGCTGGGGGGCCCAGCACAGTGACGCCACACGCAGATTCAAATTAGACCTCGCCATCCCTGGGGGGCTGCGATCTGTGAAACTGTCGCCACTTTCGAGGCCTGCTGGGGGGCCCAGCACAGTGCCGCCACACGCAGATTCAAGTTAGACCTCGCCATCCCTGGGGGGGCTGCGATCTGTGAAACTGTCGCCACTTTCGAGGCCTGCTGGGGGGCCCAACACAGTGTCGGCACGCGCGGACCCAAATTAGACCTCGCCATCCCTGGGGGGCTGCGATCTAAGATCCCCGCCTTCGAAGTGGCTAGGGTTGCTCAGGGATTGTAACTAATCAGCTTTATCTAGTCCTTGTCCTGTAGCCAGTGTCCTGCGAGTGTCCTGAATTCCGTCTGCAGACATATGTAACCCTCGTTCCGTCATCGCCCCCTTTATAAAGTATCCTAAACTATTTGCGCCCCGCGTTTGCGCAGGGATTGGGTACGTCGCCAGAATTTTTTTCGCCACACCCTGTGCACACTCCCCATCCTCCTCAGCTCTTTTTTGCGGAGGCTCCTCCTTGGAGAGCCTCTGGGGGCCTCACAAAAGTTGTTTCAGGCTTTCTTAAGGCCTTCTGGAGGCCTCCTGGGCGTATTCTGGGAGCCTCCGGTGGCTTCCTCGGGCCACCCTGCCTCCAACCGCGGTCTCCTTGAACCACTGGGTCACGATTCGGAATGCTTCGGAGGGTGTTTTTGGGCCATCTTGGGCCGCCATGGGGCTCTCTGAGGGCCATCTTGGACCCGTGTTGTGCCGTTTTGGGGTTCTCTTGGACTGCCTGGAAGCCCTTTCGGATGGTTGTGGGGCGATTTGGGAGCCCCCCAGGCGGCTTCGAACGCCCAGAAGACCACCGTCTTGGAGCGTCGGGAAGCCGAACAGAGGAGAACCGCAGACTTCACCAAAAACCAATCGAAAATCAATGCTTTTTGACTCGGGGGGCCTTCTTGGAAGTGCTCTTGGAGGCCTCTTTGGGGCCGTGTTGGAGGCCTCTTGGGCCATCTTGAGGTCACGCCGGTCACTCCTGGATCGCTCTTGTGCTGTCTTGGTGGTCTCTGGGACGTCTCCGATGACCTCTCTGATCGCCCTGGGTGTGCTGGGAAGGCTTGGCAAAACGCCCTGCGAGGCCCGGGGGCCGCTTCGAGGCCCGTCTGCAGGTTCCCAAAGCCCCAGATCCCGAGAGTCCGTTTTTTTTTGGGGGGGGGTGACGGGTTTTCCCCCCGCCCGGGCTTGTAAACATATAAGAAAATATATGTATCCGCACCTGGGGGGGCAAACAGGCCAGTGGGGCCAAGGCCATGCTTGTGGGGATAGGGATCGGTGAAGCGACGCACATCAAGAGGGTGAATCGCTCACCCCCCTCTTGCTTCCACGCAAAACCAAGTCATACCACGCGCCTCTTCGTCAGGCAGCCTGGGCGTTGCTGGCCACCCCATCTCGGTATCGCCTGGCTCCCGCTCGGAAGCGAGGGTGGTCCAACAGCGAGGCAGGGTCGCTTGCCTCTTGTGCCTCGGCATCGCTCGGGCGCGAGCATTCTTTTCTCTCGGCGAGGGCCATCGAACCGAGGAGCATCCTGGACCATCTTTAGCGAGAAATGCACGCACGAGACCGAAGCGTGCACGGGAGAATCGACGTCCGAGCGTTTCGTTGTTCCAGCCGATTTTAGCCTTGATGAGCAGAAAGAATTTCCAGCGCCAAGAAAGTACCGACATTTGATTGGTTTCACGTGTCGGGCCCTGGGAGGCGACACTCGTTCGACACCGTTTCGACACTATTCTGGGTGCCCGTAAGTACGACGGGAGCCACATAATCCGAGCGGTGGCGAGACGAGCGGCGCTCCAGGATGCCAACACGTTGCTGTGCATCTCGAGGGCCATCGACCGCTTCACGGTGGAGGCCCCGGGGGCGGACGGTCAGCCGTGCCTCGCCGCGGGGTTGGCGCGTGCCCGCCAGCCGGCGCTGGTCATCGGCGTGCAGAGCGACATCCTCTTCCCCGTCTGGCAGCAGCGGGAGGTTTTGGGCGAAGAGGAACTGTGCACAGACTCGAACTCCGAGGTTCGAACTGCGAGGTTCGAGGTCTCCGGGCGTTTTTCGTAGCTCCTCGGCGGCCTTCTGCCCTCGGGAAGCGTTCCAGCGGCTGCGCCTCGCCGAGAGCGTGCCGGGGGTGCCCAGATCGCCCCGAACGGCCACCGGAGAGCCGAGTTACCACCCAAAAAAACCAAATTCAGTGGCGCGCCCAGGGGGAATTGAGAAGGAGGAGGCCTTCTCTATAGATAGCACGAGCGTTCTCACGGTCGACCTCCTTGTCGATCTCACTGATTCGATTTCACTAATCCTGTGCCCCTGATATTAATCCCCATGAGATGATAAAGTTCGGTAACCCAAAACGGACAATAAACGCTTTCCCAGAGAATGATGAAGATGATGACGATGACGATGATGATGATGATGATGATGATGATGATGATGATGATGATGATGATGATGATGATGATGATGATGATGATGATGGTGGTGATGATGATGATGATGATGATACTGATGCTGATGCTGATGCTGATGCTGATGATGATGATGATGATGATGCTCATGCTCATGATGATGATGATGATGATGATGATGATGATGATGATGATGATGATGATGATGATGATGATCTTGGACGCTCCATAGGAATCCTTGGAACATCCATAGGAATCCTTAGGGAATCCATCGGAGTCCTTAGGACATCCATCGGATTCCTTGGGGCATCCATCGGAATCCTCAGGAACTCCATCGGATTCTTTCGGACATCCATCGGATTCCTTAGGACATCCATGGGATTCCGCAGGGCATCCATAGGGCTCCTCAAGAAATCCATAGGAATCCTTCGAGAATCGATAGCTAATCCATCGGAATCCTTCGGAAAAGAAGATAGCAAATTCGATTCGCATTCTCCCCCCCGATAATAAAGTTCAGCCTTGCCGACCTTCTCCCAAGAACAAATGTGCATTGGCCAGGAATGAGAAGCTCTCAGGGATTCAAGGGGGGTAGGCTTTATCATCCCGGGCACGGGGTTCTCGGTCTCGCGACCTTACTACCGTCTTCACGATTGATCCCATTATCGATCTCACAACTGGTCTCAATATCCATACCTCTAATTTCACGCCATCCACTGATTGGGTTTTTCCGTGGTGAAATTAAGAGCCCCCTTTACGGCAAAAGGATAACAACTTCCCGCACTTGGAAGCGTCATTCCGGCACCTTGGGGATGATGCCGCCGGTGTTTCTTATAGATGGCGGTTGCGGGGGAAGGGGGGAGGGGGATGATATGTGTTGTTGTTGCTTGGCACGCTGTTAAAGTTATCGTGCGGCTAAAATCCCCCACCTGAGATGTTTGTTTTGTGTGCGGCGCGAAACGGTAACACCGCGAGGGTTCTTCAGAGCGTGAATTACCTACCCCGTTTTCGCTTCCAGGCAAAACCAAGTCATACCACGCGCTTCCTCGTCAAGCGGCCCGACCATCGCAGGCCGTAGTTTGGCGTCGCTTGGTATCTCTTGGAAGCGAGGGTGGTCAAAAGCGAGGTAGGTTTATTTGCGCCCTAGTTCTCATAAGCTTCCTGAGGTTAGGCATGCGGGGGGGACGCATCGCTGCCCAGTCGCCCACTGCTCGCCGAGAGGCCCCAAACCCGCCCAGGAAGGTGCGGGCTCCCCATCGGAGCCCCCCCCCCTCGCCGATCCATCGGCGACGTGAGGCCGATTCTCCAGGGCGGCGTGCCCCCCCCCCACTGCGAGGAGGAAAAGGTACCCATACTAGGGGGCCACGTGCGAACCCTACCCCTACCCCCCACGATTTCTGAGGGGGAGGGTGGGGTTCGCTTCGCTCGGGAGCTCCCGAGCGAAGTGAGCCCCACCCTCCCCCTCAGACATCGTGGGGGGTAGGGGTAGGGTTCGCGTGTGGCCCCCTAGAGGAGGAAAAGGTACCCATACCTCTACCCTTCCCTCGTGTTGCCCTTTTTGGGCCTCCTGGGCGGCCCTCGTCGCCACCGCTGGATTCGCCTCGAAGCCCTGGTCAGAACGCGCCCCAGGAGAGGTGCCAGGAGCAGCGGCATCGGTGCTGCGGGACGGGAAAATGACCACAGCCACTGCTTCTTGTTGGCGCCGCCTTCCAGCCGGCCGAAAAAGAAGCAGTGGTTGTGGTCATTTCCCTGGTGCCAAGCTCAACGACAATGACCACAAGCACTGCTCTGTTTCTGCGGGCTGGCAGGCGGCAGCAAAAGAAAAGCAGTGGCTGTGGTCGTTTTCACGCCCCGTAGGTACCTTTTGGTCCCCCCCCCACCCCCCGGTGCCAGTCCGCCCCCCCCCTTGTCGTTGCCCCTCCATTCTTCTCCTCCTGGAGGTCGCGCAGGCCCTGCGCGCCGCTGGCAACCGGCACCTGGGGGGAGGGAGAAGGGGTGCAGTCGGGACTGCCCCCCATACAGGGCCAGAGTGGTGAAGCGACAGTCTGGTGTTATGGTGTTCCAACCTACTTTTTAGATTTGATCGCCATGATGAGTTTCGAGCAACGAGGAGACACCCCAAAACTCGAGGGTTTTCACATGTCGGGCCCTGGGAGACACTCTTTCGACACTGTTTCGACACTCTTTCGACTCCTCTTCTGGGTGCTCGAAATGAATTCTGGGATGTGGTCCTTCAGTACGATGGGAGCAACATGAGTCAGGTGACGATTTTTCTATTGTGCTTTTTGACTAGTTGTGAGTATGTGTTGGCTATGCTTTATGTTTTCTTCCAAATCCGCCTGTAGGAGGACATGGCCGACCTATCTAGGCCTCCCAGATGGGGTCGTAGTGAAATGGGGTCGGAGGATCGCGCCGCATCGCCGATGCGGCTCGATGGGAGCCCGATTTGCTTCACGTCGACGTCGCCGATGCATCGCTGATGTCGACGTTGCATCGCCGATGCATCGCCGCTGCATCGCCGATACATCGCCGATGTATTGGCGATGCGGCGCGATCCTCCGACCCCATGTATCACCACCCACCAAACCACCCCAACCCAACCCGAAGGCCTCAGATTGACCTCCATTTCCAGTGGGGGGGGGTCGGGGAACATCGAGAAAACACGTATGGAACCCGTACCCCCCCCAACCCGAAATTCGGGTCTTCGGGTTGGGTTGGGGTGGTCTGGTAGGTAGTCCACGTCCTCCGACCCCGTCCAGGGGGCCTCTAACCTAGGAGGAGGGCGCCGACGCCGCTGCGCTGGGCCTCGACCTCGCCCTCTCTTCGGGCCTCCACGGCCCGCCCGCCGGGGCTTCGGCGGGCGCCCCCAGCTCCTCTGGAGTCGGGCACGGCCCCTTACAGGAGGAATATTCAAACAGATGCGAACAAATCGTGTGGGGACGATGTTTCGATTCATGCTGTATGTTTTGAGCATATTTTGCCTGTTGCGTATTTTTGTGGCACAGTCTGCCTGTCGGAGGGCATGCCCGACCGAAAGCCGCAGCTGTCCATCAGCCACGCGCAGAGGGGGGTGACCCGAGGAGGTCTTTAGATTTACGTCGGGCCTGTCCCCCTACAGGATGAACATTCAACAATAGTCAAAAATAGTCTGGGGACTCTTTTTTGACTATTTTTCCACTGTCTAGTGTCATTTTTGACTATTCTTCATTTTTCGTCCACAATCCCCCTGTAGGGGGACAGGCCCGACTCAACTTTCGATTTACTCCCCCTCTGAATGCGATAGGGTATCACATGTTATGCAGCAGTGTGCGCAGCACGTTCATGATCATGCTTGCTCGCTGCTGCTGAATGTGTGTGGACAATCTATTGGGAATCAATTATCAGGAGGAGCTCGAGGTCTTTGCCATTTTGGATACGAACCTCGTGGGTCTCCTTGGGATTCAGACCCCCCCCCGCTCTTCTCGGCGGGAAATACAAGCTCCTCCCCCCTCCCCGCGGGGCTCCCAGCCCGCCCCCCTTTTTTAGGCCTGGGAGACCCTCGCCGCGACGGCCGGGGCTCGCCTCCAAGGCTTGGCCAGTTAACGCGCCAAGGGGAGGAGGTGCGGGGCGTGGCGAGCCCGGGGGAAAGTGAGGAGTGGAATCGGGGGAAAACAAACCTACCTCGCTTTTGACCACCCTCGCTTCCAAGAGATACCAAACGATGTCAAATTGCGGCCTGTACCGGTCAGGCCGCTTGACGAGGAGGCGCGTGGTATGGCTTGGTTTTGCCTGGAAGCGAAAGCGGGGGAGGTAATTCACGCTCTGAGAGTAGGATAATCAGGAGGGGAAACACACACAGACGCAATGAACCGTCGATTCCCCCTCAAAATATCGGAAAATATGGGAAGTGGGGGGGAAGAGACAGCCCAGAGAATATGGAAAAAGATTGGGAATCCTGGTACTTGTGTATAGTTATTTGTGTGTCCCAGGGCCCCTTCAGAGAAGGCCTTCTCAGAAGGATCGGAAGTCCCCTGGCCTTCTGAGAAGTCTTCTGAGGCTCTCCCGAAGGCGCAGAAAACTTCCCAGGAGGCGCGAGGGCTTCTGAGAAGTCCCACCGCCCTGTGAGAGGGCCGTCTCCTCGCCGCCGACGCTGGGTTCCCCGAGGCACGTGGTCTACTACGAGCTCGACTCCGTCCACGGGCACTCCGCGTTCCTCCACGAGGCCGACCAGATGGGGCCCGCGATCCTGGGGCACCTGAGCCAGGGTCGGCCGGCGCACCGCTGAGGGCACGAGCGCCTTATTCCCGCGCCCCGCGCTTTGTACGGCCTGAAGACAGGGTTCAGTCAAGTCAGGCATGTCCCTCCGCAGGAGGAATATAAGCAAACAGTCCAGACGTGGTCTGTGGACGTTTGTTGTAGTATTGCTAACTAGTTGGGAGTATGTTTGTAGTATTTTCATTTTTCGTCCAGAGCCCTGCTGTAGGAGGACATGCCCGACCCAAAGGCAGGGCGATGTTGCATGGCGCGGATGCGTGGGTTCGGTCGCGGCCAGTGAGTCGTGAGCTCATGGTCGACGCACGGACCTCTCGTGCGGCGCGTTCTCGATGGGCCGATGTTCCATTGAGGTAATGGGGAGACGGAGGAGGATGAGGAGGAGGAAGAGGAGAAAGAGGAGGAAAGGGAGAAGGAGGAGGATGAGGAGGAGAAGAAAGGGGAGGAGGAGGAGGAGGAGGAGAAGAGGAGGAGGAGGAGAAGAGGAGGAGGAGGATGGGAGGAACGGAGGAGGAGGAGGAGGAGGAGGAGGAGGAGGAGGAGGAGGAGAAAGAGGAGGAGGAGGAGGAGGAGGAGGAGGAGGAGCAGGAAGAAGAGAAGGGGGAGGAGGAGAAGGAGGAGGAGGAGGAGGAGGAGGAGGAGGAGGAGGATTAGGACCTCCCCATCCTCCTTTCTCTCCCGCCCTGCCTCTGGTGGTGGTGGTGGGACCTCGGCCCATCAGTTCCGAGTCCGCATGTGCGCTTCGGCCCCTTCACGATCTGTAGTGCGCACGCGCGACGCCCCACGGCTGGACCTGTGCCTCCAACGCCAGCAGACGCAGTCCCCTGGTCGTAGCGTTCCGCTGCCCACTGCTCCCCAGACTCCGAGAACACGCACCACCGTCGCCACTGCTGCCCACCGCTGTTCCCCTCGTGTCCTTGTCTTCTCGCCGGTGTCGTCTGAGCATGGCGCCTGCCACCGCTCCGAGAGTGTCGTGAGGTGTGGAAGTTTGGGATGTTTGCTAACGCAAGCTCATGCTCGTTGCCGCAACCTACGGGTTGGATGTCTCAAAGTTGCCGTGCGTTCTTCCGAGCTGCAGTAGACACCGGGGCAACCCATGGCAACATCTTCGGCTGCGCTCGAGCATGCGTTGTCGCCTCATACACAGTGCAGCTCGCAAGTGCCACCGGCGAGTCTGCAACATCGGCTATGCTGCTTGTCGTGATCTCTGGCAGTTTTTGATGAGAGACGATCACAAAGCTGGGGCAGCCGCCGCGAGGGGCCATCCTTTGGAGCGTTCGGCGCGTCCAGGTGCCTCAAATTGGTGGTGCCCACTGTTTCTGGTCCGAGCGATCTTAGAAGGCTCCTCATCTACATGGAGTCGGCGCCACCCAAACATCCTAACGTACAGTCGGGGCCCTGAAGAAGGAACCCTTTTCGTTGGGGAGGGGCTCCGCGTTCCTCAAGTGTTTCACAGCTTGCCTCAGGTTTTCCTTATGTTTTCGATAGGACATCGAAGTTTAACTTATGGAAAAAAGGGGCCTCGTTCCTTATTTAGGGTTCCTTAGGTCAACGCCCCGACTGTAATGTGTGCCGAAGGGGCCACGATCGCGCCGAGAAGTCTTGTTGTGGGCGCTCCGTGGCGGGCGTTGTCTGGCCGTGCCTCTCGGGAAACGAGATGTGCCACAAGACGGGATGGCATGTGCCAATGTGTTCGGGTCGGACGCGCGCCTTTGAGGAGAACGCGTACATAGATCCCGTACAGTCGGGGCCCCGAAGAAGGAACCCTTTTCGTTGGGGAGGGGCTCCGCGTTCCTCAAGCGTTTCGCAGCTTGCCTCGGGCTTTCCTTCTGTTTTCGACCGGAAACCGAAGGTTAACTTATGGAAAAAGGGGGCCTCGTTCCTTATTTAGGGTTCCTTAGGTCAATGCCCCGACTGTACACCCGACGTAATGATTTGTGCATGGCGTCGACCCCCCCCGAAGCCTCGACCCATCCCCTTGACCGGCTTCTCATCCCAGGTCGCTTCTCGACGGCCCCGAGGCTTGGGAAGGGCCCCCAGAGGCCGAAATCATAGAAAAGCATCCCGCCGTGGCTTGTTTCACGACGCGAGGGGGCCTGGGCCGAGAATAGCGAACATTTCTTTCTGCGTTTTTCCACGACCCGAAGCTGCCGAAGCAGCGCTGCCGAAGCTCCAGGGCCCCTGCAGGCCTCGAAGTTGCTGCTCCCGTCGCCATCTGGGCCGCACGGCCTCGGAGGACCGCTTCTGGCTTCTCTCCTCCTCGTTAAGCAGGTGGCCTGTTGGCACTGGCATCTCGGGTGAGTCGTTTTGGAAGTTCATTAGAACATATACCGCCTCGGTTCGGTAGCCTTTTGTGGCCACAGCGGCTTTCATTTCAGTGTATTGTTAGCGGCCCTTGATGGCTTTCGGTCGCTCGTTAGCGGCTTTTCGCAGCCTTTAGTAGTCTTCAGCAGCCTTTGGTGGCCTTCAGCGGCCTGGAGTAGTCACTACAAAAGTGCCAAGAAGTGTTTTCTGTTCAAAGTCTTGACGCTTCGCGTATCCCCGCCAGAGTCCCTGGCATGTGCATACGCCACTGCGGCCAATTTACATCGTACCGCGCCCCGGACGTTGTGCCCGCTCCTTGTCCCTCGCCTTGGAGCCGCGAACCCAAAAAGTATCCCCGCCAGCGCGGCTGCGCGTTTCCGGACGGCGCGCGGTTGGACCGCGACGCTCGCGAAAAAAATAAAAACAATCCACACCAGCCCCCAGTTTCCCTCGGCGGCAGCCTCGGCAGCCGTGACAGTCCGCTGGGCAATTAGGCTTCGCCCATAGCCCAGGTTGACCTCTGACGCTACATGCGCCTTCGTTTGCGGTTGCGACGGAAAAAGTGTATATCCCCACCAGCCCATCCAGAAACGATGCCAATAAGAGTTGACGGGGGGAGGGAGGAAGAGACACCCATAGCCAAACAGGGAGGCTCCGTGGCCATCTCGAGCCGTTTTGGAGCGGTCTTGAGGCCGCTTGGAGCATCTTGGGAGCCATCTTGAGCCAGCTTGGGTTGTCGGAGCCATCTTGGAGGTCATCTTGGGCTCTCAGAGGCCGCTCGGGGGCCTCTTGGGGGCCTCTCGGGTGCCTTTGAAGGCCTCTTGGGGCTTCTTTGGGCGCTCTTTGGGCTCTTTTGGGTGCCTCCTGGGAGCCGTGGAGGGCCTCTTCAGGCTATTGTGGGCGGTCGGTCAAAAGAGGGGGGGTATTCGGTTTAGGTCCCCCTCCTCGGGGGCCACGGTCCTTGTGAGGGGTGGCAAGAAATGGCCCTCCCTATGGCCGAGCAAGGAGCCTCCGACACCTCGCTCTTCCCCCCAGAAACCTCAGGGAGGGGAGGGGAAGGGAACCTCCCCGAAGGGAAGAGGGGTCGTGGAAGAGGGGCTGCCGCCCAAAAGGCTGGTGGGACTAGGTTTCGAAGCAGAGAGGGAGAGAGAGAGAGACAGAGAGAGAGGGAGAGAGACAGAGAGAGAGAGAGAGAGAGAGACAGAGAGAGACAGAGAGAGAGAGAGCAGCACACAAGAAAACGAGAGAGAGAGAGAGGAAACAAAAAAACAAGACGTTTGCCCCGAAGCCCAACCTCCGTTGGGGCACTGCCGCAGCTCCTGCCCAGGCCGCCCGGGGCCCGCGCGAGCCCGCCGCCCGGGTGCGCCGCGCTCCCGAAGAGTCCAGGTGCGCGGGAGGCCCAGAAGGTGCTGCGGCGCCCGTCGGGGGGCGTTTCGGCTCCCGCGCGCGAGTTGTGCTGCCGTGGGGCTTCCTCTCAGCGCTCCTCGGCCACGCGCAGAGGGGGGAAGGGGAAAGGGGGAAGGCTTTTCAGAAGCACCCCTGCTTCTTAGAAGGCGCGGGCCTTCTCTACACATGTAAGGCCGGCGCCTTCTAAGAAGCAGCCCCCTTCTAAGAAACCTCCCCCCCTCCCCCTACCCCCCTCTGCGCGCCGCCAAGCTCCAGGGGTGTACACAAGGCTCCTCGGGTGGCGCGGCTCGTGGGGCCCGAGGTGCCGCGGCGCCTCATCGGCGGCGTCGGTCTTCCGGGAAGCAGCACGGACACCTCCTGGAGGGGGGCGCAGGCTCGTGGGAGAGTTCGCAGCACTTCCAAGTTGAAGAGTGCGAGGAAGACACATAATACTAGTACTAGTACTAGTACTAAGGAGCAACGTGCTGCTGGTGGTGCCATCCGAACACTCAGGATCGAGGATCGAGGAGCATCACAAACCAACTACAAATCATTTAATTGAGGTTCCAAAGATACTGGTTGGTACTGGCATCCCAGACCCATCCGCGTCGTGAACAAGTCACGACGGGAGGTTGTTCTAGGTTCTCGGCCTTTGGGGGCCCTCACCGGGCCTTGGGAGTGTCAACAAAACAATTCGGGTTGAAAAACCAGTCCCTGGGAAGTCAGCGTTTTTTTCTCATTGTTTTGCCGATCGGCGCGGGCCCTCGCACCCCCTCCTCCCCCACGCTCGCATGGAGTAGATCTTGGCTGCTTTGGGCGCCTGTTTCGAGCGGGTGGAGGCTCCCCCACATTGGGCACATTGTTGCAAACAGTCGCAGTAAGCAGAGGTTCGGAGCCAGACCCCCCCCCTCCCCCCCTTCCGCCCAGTGCCGAAACGCCGCATAATAAAACATGCTCACGAATGGGTCGATACCTTCGGGTGTCGACGTTGCGAACAGATGATGAAGTATGAAGGCGAGGGTCAGGGTCCCCCTCCCCCTCCCTCCCTCTGCTTCTGAGCGACGGCTGGAAACGGCGTGGACTGCGCGGGCCTTCGCGCGCAGGTTTCCCGCGCAAGGTCGCGCGTATGTAAGCGGATTCCTCGCCACGCGGTGTATCTCGCCGGGGGCCCGCATGGGCCGCGGCGCGGGGTCGCTGCGCCGTCGTGCAGGGGTCCCGTGTGTCTCTCCGTCGCTCACCTCGGACGTCGTCGCGCGCAGGCCCGTTCTGCCTGGACGCTCCGAGAGCCCAGGGCAGGACCTCAACGGTGTCTTGTTGGCGATTCCGTGGGCCGCTTTCGCTTCGACGTCGTTCTGCGGCAGAGGCGGACTAAAGACAGAACGAGGGGAAACAACGAAAGCAAAACGAAAACGGAACGCACCGTTCAGGTTCAGCCCTGCGGGAGCCTGGCGGGTGCATCGACGGGGCGAAGGGAGTCCGCGGGGCCGCCTCTGCCGGGCCGCCGGCGCCGAAGGGAGGCGGGCCCGGGAGCGGGCGTCCAGCCGTGCGCAGCAGCTCGGACGTCCCGCGATGCAGCGGGAACCCCTGCTGAGAAGCACCCTGCTTGCCCCCAGGGTGCCCTGGGTTTCCTGGGTGTCGATGGTTTTCCCTGGGTGGAAAGCGTGACGTCCCCCCACACCAAAAGTCAATGGACGTCCTGGGGTCTCGGGGCTGGGTTTCTCGTGGAAGGTGTCTTGTGGTCGAGCTCTATACTGTATCTGATGGAAGAAAAGTCCCGGGGAGGCTTGCCCAATTGGGTTGTCTGGCGGGGGTGTCCATCTATCTCCCCGCTGGGTTGTCCGAGGGGCAAGTCATCTTGTCGTCATGGGTCAGCCTGGGTTGTCCCCGGTGTCCTCGGGGGGGAGCTCGGGGATTGTGCTCGATTGGGCTATGTTCTCCCTGCGCATTGCTTTGCCGCCTGTTCTGTTTCGGATCCGCCTTCTGGCCATCCTCGCTGCTGTTGCATCCGCCCGACGTCTTTTTTCCGCAGGCCGGCCTCCCGGGGCCCCAGCCGCGCGCCCCGGGGGACCGTCGACGAGACAGCCCGGGAGCAGAAGCTGGACCTTGCGGGGGGGGGCGCGGGATCCAGGCCCCGTTCTCGCCAGGGCCCGCTCTTCTCCCCGCTCTCTCCCCAGGACCCACCTCTGGAGGAGGAGGAGGAGGAGGAGGAGGAGGAGGAGGAGAAGGAGGAGGAGGAGGTGGAGTGGGAGGGGGAGGGAGGAGGGGGGAAGAGGGAGGAGGGGGGGAGGAGGAGGGGCAGGGGGAGGGAGGGGGAGGGGGAGGAGGAGGGGGAGGGAGAAAGGGAGGGAGGAGGAGGAGGAGGAGGAGGAGGAGGAGGAGGAGGAGGAGGAGGAGGAGGAGGAGGAGAGGAGGAGGAGGAGGAGGGGGAGGATCCAGGAACCGCTCTCCCCAGGAGCCGCTTTCCCCAGGATCCAGGACCCGCTCTCCCCAGGATCCAGGACCCGCTCGCCCCAGGATCCAGGACCCGTCCCCTTCGTGCTGACATGATCGCCCAGCAAGCCTCCATTGCAGCCCCGTGCGCAGGCAGCAGCCAGAGGCCCGCCAAGCGGCGCCGACGAGATGCTTTCGGCGACGCTTTCCCCGCGCTGCGCCCGTATACGCGCGCGCGCCCGCCCGCTTCTGCTCTGGGGACAGCTTCTTTTGTCCTTGCTGCTGGCCTCCTTCTCCTTCTCCTCCTCCTCCTGTTCCTCCCGACTCCCTCCTCCTCCCTCCCCCCTCCTTCCTTGTCCTCCCTCCTCCCTTCCTTCATCCCTCTCTCCCTCCTCCTCCCCCCAACTTTGGGACGTCACGACGCCATGCTATGTCAGCTACGCTCGTTCCGAATCGTGCTCCCGCTGCAACGCTGGCCTCATTTCCGCTCTTCCGCTCGTTCCGACTCGTGTTCCCGCTGCAGCGTTGTCGTCATTATCCGTAAGGGCTTCGCCGCCTGCCACCGGCCCCCTCTCTCGGAGAGTGGGCCATGGAAGAGCTAAGTCATGAGGCCTTGGCGCTGTCGTGAAGCAGTATCGAAACTTCATGCGAAGCCGATTCGCAATCAGCAAAACCAACTGATCACAAGAGGGGTTACCACACCTGGCGATTGGTAAGACGTGTATGGTTTACGGGCTTGGTTACCACACCTTGCGATTAAAGGGCCGAGGGAGTTCTCGCAGTTTGGGTTACCACGCCTTGCGATGGATGTGCGTGAGGGGTGGCACCGAATTTCAGAAATGTGGCAAATCCCTTGTGTTTTTGGACCCTGACCCCGCGGATCTGCGTGAGGGGTGGCACCGACTTTCAGAAATGTGGCAAATCCCCTGTGTTTTTGGACCCTGACCCCGCGGATCTGCGTGAGGGGTGGCACCGAATTTCAGAAATGTGGCAAATCCCATGTGTTTTTGGACCCTGACCTTGCGGATCTGCGCGAGGGGTGGCACCGAATTTCAGAAATGTAGCACATCCCCTGTGATTTTGAACCCTGACCCCGCGGATCTGCGTGAGGGGTGGCACCGAATTTCAGAAATGTGGCAAATCCTTCTGATTTTTGACCCTGACCCTGCGGATCTGCGTGAGGAGTGGTACCGAATTTCAGAAATGTGGCAAATCCCCTGTGTTTTTGGACCCTGACCCCGCGGATCTGCGTGAGGGGTGGCACCGAATTTCAGAAATGTGGCAAATCCCTTGTGTTTTTGGACCCTGACCCCGCGGATCTGCGTGAGGGGTGGCACCGAATTTCAGAAATGTGGCAAATCCCCTGTGTTTTTGGACCCTGACCCCGCGGATCTGCGTGAGGGGTGTGATTTCGAGCCCCCCCAGCAATTCAGACAACGCGCCCAGGGGGTGCTAAAAAATATGGTTTGGGCCTCCCTCCCCTCGCGCGGTCAATCAACTAGTTACAGTAACCAGCAAGAAGCAGAACTGTAACACTGGAAACTACAAACTACAACTGGTACAGGAAACTGCGAATCACGGGCCTACAGCCTGGTGGCCCCACAAGGGGGCCGGCGGATTTCAAGCGCCATGCCACGGCATGGTTTTCGGTCCTTCCAAATAGGCCCCAAAATCTAAAGAAACACAACCCACTTCGGGGCGTCGCCACGCCATGCTATGTCAGGCTACGCGTTGATTTTCAACAGCATGCTATGCCATGTAATGCTATGTGCTATGGCCTGCTACGACATCCGACTGTGCGAATAAAGAGGATACCTACGCCATGGTAAGGGATGGGAGGGAGGGGTGGGACGTCAGATATGACGCGAGCGCACCTAGCTTGCCCCTCCCCCCTCCCTCCTCCATTCCCCCCTCCCCTGTGTATACGTGCATGCGCATAGGCACTACATATCCGTACACGCTCGTAGACGTGCATGCGTGCATACTTGCGCGTGCATTGTTCCTGTGTGTGCGCACGTGTGTGCGCGTCTGACTCGCCTGGGGCACACGTTTCACTCGCATCCTCCTCTGTCTTGCGGGCTGTCCGCAAGTCCTGTGTCGTATCGCGCTTGTCTTTCCCCCCGCCTCCCCTGCCCGGCTGTTGCTGCGGGCTCGTTGTTTCCTCATCGTGCATCCCTCATTTCCCGTGCCTTTGTCGGTGGCCTCGTTTGCCGTGCCTTTTGTCGGTGGCTTCGTGTGCCGTGTTTTGTGGTGGCCTCGTTGTCTTTGCGTCGAGCTGGATGGCTTCAGTTGGATCCTCTCGATGCCAAGGGGCCCTGGGACACACAAATAAATACACACAAATAAAACGATTTCCCATATATTCCCATATGTTCTGGGTTTTTGTCTTCCCCCCCACTCCCCATATTTTCCGATATTTTCTGGGGAGTCGACGATTAATTGTGTCTGTGTTTTTTCCCCTCCTGACGATGTTTGGTGGCGTTCTGCCCATCTCGCCACTGTGCCTGGGTTGTGTGCCCGAGTCCTCAGGTATGCCTCGTTGGGTCTCTTCGGAACGCCCTCGGGAGCCACTGAGGGGCAGTCTGGGGGCCTCTTGGGGACCTCTTGGGAGCCTCTTGGGGGCCTCTTGGGGCTTCCTGGGGGCCTCTTGGGTGCCTCTTTGGGCCTCTTGGCCGCCTCTTGGCGGCCTCCGTATGGGGGCCTTCGTGGGCCAGTTTGGAGCCCTCTTGTATGTTTCGGGGCCCTCTTGGAGGCCTCTGGGGTCGTCTTGGAGCGTCGGGAAGCCGAAAAGGCGAGAACGCCACAAAATCCTTCCAGCATTTCTGGGAAATCAATGTTTTGTTTCCTCTTTGGGTCCTCCTTGGAGGCCTCCTCGGGCGTCCTGGGGGCATCTTGGGCCGGAAGCCATCTTGGGCGTCTTAGAGCGATCTTTCGGCGAGTCAGGACCCTCTTGGATCTTCTTGGGGGCCTCTTGGGGCCCTCTTGGCCCGTCTTGGGGTCCTCCTTGGACCCGAAGAAGCTACAGAGGAGGCCCATGCCAAGAAACACCCTCCCTGCCTCCAGGGTGCCCCGGGGTTCTTGGCTGTCGATGGTTTTGCCGTGGACAGCGTGCCGTTCCCACACCAAAGAGCAGTGGACGTCCTGGGGTCTCGGGGCTGGGTTTCTTGTGGACGGCTTCTTGCGGCCGGGGGCCCCTAGTGTCAAGTCGGGCCTGCCCCTCTCTACAGGAGGAATCTCCAAGAATACTCAAACAATCATTCGGGGACGATGCGTTGGCCATGTTTGAGCAGTTTGGTGATATGTTTGGGGGTATCTCTTGCTCCAGATTTCGTAATAAAAGGGAGGGGGTCTGGACCCTCCAAGACAAGCCATTTCAGACCTCCCCCGTGGGAGAACCCTCCAAAACATCGTCCCCAGACCCCCCAGGCCCTCCAAGATAGCCTGGAAGAGACCCCCCCGAAATGAGACCCCCCTCCCTTTATTACGAAATCTGGAGTAGCCTTGATCACCAGAAAGAATTTCGAGCGCCCAAGAAAGGTACCGAAGCTCGAGGGTTTTCACGCGTGGGGCCCTGGGAGACACACTCGCCCGACCCTGTTTCGACCCTCTTCGGGCACTTTTCTGGGTGCTCGACATTATTTCTGGGATGTGGTCTTTATGCAGGCTGGGAACAACGTATCACTACAAATCGACTCGCCCCACAAATTGATCCCCTCGTCGGATCTCTGAGAAAAAAACGTCGTATTCTCCCTCGGGATCTCGAGGGGGGGATCCCCTACAGAATCGATTCGCCCCAAAAATGGATCCCCTCGTCGGATCTTTGAGAAAAAAACGTCGTATTCTTCCTCGGGGTCTCGAGGGGGGGGGGGTCCCCTACAGAATCGATTCGCCCCAAAAATTGATCCCCTGTGCGGATCTTGAAAGAAAAACGTCGTATTCTTCCTCGAGATCTCAAGGGGGGGATCCCCTACAGAATCGATTTGCCCCCCAAATGGATCACCTCGTCGGATCTTTGAGAAAAAACGCCGTATTATTCCTCGAGATCTCGAGGGGGGGATCCCCTACAGAATCGATTCGCCCCAAAAATAGATCCCCTCATCGGATCTTTGACAAAAAGCATCGCGTTCTTCCCCGGGATTTCTAGTGGGGGATCCCCTGCAGAAACGATTCGCCCCAAAAATTGATCCCCTCGTCGGATCTTTGAGAACAACCGTCGTATTCTTCCTCGGTATCTCGAGTCGGGGATCCCCTACAGAATCGATTCGCCCCCAAAATTGATCCCGTCGTCGGATCTTCGAGAAACACGTGGTATTCTTCCTCTGGATTTCGAGTGGGGGATCCACTACAGAATCCATTCGCCCCAAAAATTGATTCCTTCGTCGGATCTTCGAGAAACAACGTAGAATTAGGTCGGGCCTGTTCCCCTGCAGGGGGGTTTTGGACGACAAATATAAAACACCACCAAGAATATTCAAGAATGGTCAAAACATCGTCCCCAGACTACTGCTTTGACTTTTTTGAATATTCCTCCTGTAGAGGGACAGGCCCGACTTAACACTACAGAATCGATGTACCCAAAAATTGATCCCCTCCTCGGACCTTCGAGAAAAAAACGTCGCATTCTTCCTGGGTCCGACGAAAGACCCAAGTCTGGGGCAGGTCGAGTCTGCAGCCGATGCCCCTGCTCGAAGACTGCGGACTGAGGCTCCAGGGGGTGCAGCAAGGTACAGTGAGCGGCTTGAGTAAGGAACACTTGCTTTTCAAAAGGGGCTCGGTCGTTCCCTAGGCTTGCGTGCGTTATCCATCGTTCCGTATGCGTTTTTCATGATTTATCGTTCCTTATGCATTGTTCCTTGGAAAGTCAAGGGGCTTCGTTCCTTATTTCTCGTTCCTTAGGTCAGGCCGGTGGCGGTACCCGAGGACACTCCCACCGGTGCCTCAAGGGCACGGTGGCAGAGACGGAGCACGTGGCGCCATCGCAAGTGGCCGTACAGCCGGGGCGCTGAAGAAGGAACCCGCTTCGTTGGGGAGGGGCTCGGTGTTCCTTGAATGTTTCGCAGCTTGCCTCAGGGTGTCCTTAGGTTTTCGATGGGAGATCGAAGGTTAACTTGTGGACCAAAAAGGGGCCTCGTTCCTTATTTGGGGTTCCTTAGGGCAAGGCCCCGACTGTATTCCTGTCCGCGGGCACGGGGCGCGCGTGCGCTTGCTGTTTCTGCAGGCTCGTTCTGGGCCGCTCCTCGCCGGGGACAGCGCGGACCGCGCCTCGCCCGGGACCGCACTGGACCCTCTCGTGCAGAGGTCGCGGAGGACAAAACGTGGTTGTGTGTGTGTGCGTGCGTGCGTGTGTTTGTTAGTGTGCGTGCGTGCGTGCGCGTGTGTGTGTGTGTGTGTGTGTGTGTGTGTGTGTGTGTGTGTGTGTGTGTGTGTGTGTGTGTGTGTGTGTGTGTGTGTGTGTGTGTGTGTGTGTGTGTGTGTGTGTGTGTGTGCGTGCGTGTGTGTGTGTGTGTGTGTGCTTGGTTTGAAGCGGCCACCGGGACCCGGGGCCTTGGGGCCCTCAGGATTGGCCTCGTGTCGCCACCGGGACCCGATGCGCCACTGCAGTCTTGTATATATATTATATATATATATATATGTGTGTATAGCTATATGTATGTATATATATATATATATATATATATATATATATATATATACAAGACTGCAGTGGCGCTTCGCGCCATGCACCTTGGTCCTTCAAGTTTGGTGTGCAGGCGGAAGAGCAAGAAGGTCAAGCCGACAATTTAGCGATAATTCCTGGTTTGCTTTTTTCTGGCATCGCCGCTATAATAATGTTTTTCGTTATGCTTCCTCCATGCTTCTTTTTCCTTCTCTTCGCCATGCCCTGACCATTCTCCCCATCCTCCTCAGCTCGTTGTTGCGGAGGCTCCTCCTTGGAGAGCCTCTAGGGGCCTCACAAAAGTTGTTTCGGGCTTTCTTAAAGCCTTCTGGAGGCCTCCTGGGCGTATTTTGGGGGCCTCCGGGGGCTTCCTCGGGCCACCCTGCCTCCAACCGCGGTCTCCCTGAACGACCGAATTACGATTTGGAATTCTTCGGAGGGTGTCTTTGGGCCATCTTGGGCCGCCATGGGGCTCTCTGAGGGTCATCTTGGACTCGTGTTGTGCCGTTTTGGGGCTCTCTTGGATTGCCTGGAAGCCCTTTCGGATGGTTGTGGGGCGATTTGGGAGCCTCCCAGGCGGCTTCGGTCGCCCAGAAGACCGCCGTCTTGGAGCGTCGGGAAGCCGAAAAGAGGAGAACCCC